ATTTCGATAATTTCTTTTTTCTTTACTTTCCGATTGATATTACTGATCTATAACACAATTATGGTGATTGACAAAAGATAAGATTCTTAAATACAGAATTATATGAAAAAAAAAACAATTTTTCTATACGATTGTTTTGATCGTCAAGTAAAAAATTATTTTCAGATCTACATCTGGCCAAATTTTTATCTCAACAAAACCGGTCTTTCCATGTAATTATTTATAGTATAATACGATAAATTTCGAAGTATCTATGATGAGGACGACGAGGAGGTAATTGGTGCGATCCAACTTTTACATTTTTCCATTATGCTCCGATCGCGCCACGCTCCGTCACCACTGCGAACGTATCGCGCGTTACTTACGACCCTCGTAAATCGCGCGGCCAACGCCCCGTCGACGCGACGCGCGTAATCCCCCAAACATTCGCAAGCGCCTCGTGGAAGAACATTAACGTTCATCTCGGGCGATTAAATAAGTCATATCGCCGCATCTCTCCTAACGAAGCGCCGCGAAGCATCCTCGTATTCGTGCCGCGCAGCGTCGGCGTCGTTGTCTGTCGCAGTTGTCGACTGCCAGAAGTAGTTTCTTTTTACCTCTTTCTCCCCCATCCCTCTGCCCTTTCTCCTCCACCATCTCCCGATTCGTTCTTTTATTCCTTTCCTTGCGAGAGATGCAGTATTTATAAGCAGGGACGACCGTCGCGACTGAGGAAAGAAGAGAAAGAGAGAGAGAGAGAGAGAGAGAGAGAGAGAGAGATAAAGAGGACCGAAGATTTTGCAGCACGCGTTTTCCACTCGATGGTGTTGGTGATGATACGCACGTTCCATCCTTCTCGTCTTCTCCGTTTCTTTCGTCTTCGAAAGAGAAACAGCGCTTCACGTCGTCGTCGCTCTTCTTTGCTCTCCTTCGTGCTTCCATCCCGCGCTCTTCGCCGCCGCGCTGTAAACTGTAGCTGCTTTGACAGACCGGCGGCTGGCGTGAAAACGCTCGCCAATTAACCAGCGGTGAATTATGCACCTCCCCCTTTACTCAGCCACTAGTTTAGTAGGTGACTTACGTCGTACTTGCCAGCCGACAAGTCACGGACGAATTCGAGTATCACGCTGAGCGCTCTTTCTCTTCTTCCAACTCCCGTTTCTGTCTTCTTGTTCGTTCTTCTAATGTCTCGTTCCCTTCTCCTCCTCCTCCACTTCCTCCTTTCCCTCCTCAGCCCCCCGGTGGACTGGTGCACAAAGCGAGTATGGTGTCGCGAGCAGCCGGACATCCGGTAACTCCCTTTGAAGTCTTTGAGAACGCGAATTCGCGGGATCGTACGTCGAATGAAATATCGCGATGTATGCATCCCCCCTCGTGCCGTTCTCTGTTCCCTCTGTTCTCTCCCTGTTGGCACAGCGGTTGCAACACGGTTGCGGATACGCGTTAAAGTGGGAAAGGATTACGGACTGCGGGGAATTTCTACCGCAGGCGGGGGCAATTATAGTCTAATATTTATAGCGAGCACATTTTTTTCTCCTGTCCAGAAAAAACTCCCGTAGAGATACGGTCAACCTGATTATGCGTATACTATACTAATCGCCATTTTGTATTTTTGTTAAAAGCGGAATTTCAAAAATAAACTTTCAAGAGATTTAAGCGCCCCACTTTAAGTTGTAGAATGGCAGCAATGTTAGATCATTGTTACTATGGTGATCATATATCACATGTATATTTGTAAAGGCGCGGATATTGAAGATAAAATATTGTCGTGTATTTTAATCTGTACCGTTAACCGAAATTATTTCCGTATATTTCTCTGACGCGGTAATAAATCTCACGAAAAATACTTGTTCAGCGACGGCTTGGACCGGGATTTCGTTTGTTGGAGCTCGATGGGTAGCTGACAATACCGCCGTGAGGTGTCCCTCGTAAAATTCGAATTTGTCTGTCGGTCGTTAGCCGAGAAATCCAAAACCATCTTTCGCCCGCCGACTCGCTTTCTCTCTCGCTTTTTCCCTCCTCCTCTTTTCCGCAGGCGGCCGTACGGAATAATCTACCAGCCAGTAGAACAATCTATCACGCCGTACAACGAAAGTTTGACGCAATGTCAAAACGCGGACCCGTTAATTTTTCATGTCGTTTCACCCGGAACTCGTGCTGTAACTGCGCCTCCTAACCCCGGTCGCCGTATACACATCGCCGACCTGATCCACATCGTCGACGCTGGTCCAGCAAGTTGTCTCGACGTTGCCATTCATTATTCACCACCTACATTGATACGCTACCTTTCGACAACGCGGGACGCACTTGCGTGGCGGAGCGCCAGAACAAAAAAAAAAAAAAACATGCCACGTATCTGTTTTACAGATTGTCTGGTTAAATGTGCAGCCGCCTTTATTTATTATCACGTGGTATTATTTTCGAGATGAAAAGATCGTGTTCCCGCAGAGAAAATATTATTTCGCAGCGTAATTTTTAATTATGAGATTGTTTACGAGACTATTTGCGAGAGATTAAATAGATTTCATACAAAATAAGATAAATCTGTATAATAATTGC